AATCTGTGAAGGGATAGGCTAGATGATTTCTTTGAATATACCTGACTTCAAAAATAGCCATGGACTGGGACTAGAAATAGAAGTGATGATTTTCTCACTGTCCCCATGACAATAGGCTCTTTAATCACTCCATTCCTGAGGACATGTATACTCTTCTCTAAATAATCTGTACAACATGAACGAAATGAAGTTACCGAAGAGAAAAGACAATCTGGAGAAAGAACATTTATTCTATTTAATTGTGTCTCTGGTGAGACATGACACTGCCAGAGAATGATAATGATATAATTCATTATCAGTCATTCAGTTTAATAAACATCCTAACTACAACTAGTGTAAGTTGGGATAAACAGTATGGAGCAAAGGAGCAGACAGTTCCAACATAGTGCGAGGGAATGTGGAAATGTGTGTGTGGTATTTTCTTAAAGGAGATACTGGAAGCAGAAAAGGTTACTTTTAAAAACCTTCCCTTGGGCACTGAAGTCCTAGACCTGAGCAAGAAAAAACAAAACAAAACAAAACAAAACAAAACGCCATCTGCCTTTCATGTTGCTAAGAATGTCTTCACTTGTCAAAGAAAACAAAAACAGTAAGAGAATCTAAAGGAAAGATGCCTTTAAATATGATTCCAATAACTATTTAGAATACTACAGGCTTGGAAGACAGATCTGGACATGGCCTGTACTAGACTTCATCCCTGAGCACTTCCAGTTATGGCCAGCTCTTAGGTGTATGTCTGGTTTTATAGTATAGTGTGTGCTGGTGGAAGGTGTCTGCCTTTGTTTAGATATAGTTAAAACTTTTAAGTTCTCAATTCTTTATTTTCAAATCTCCCCAGGACTTCTTGGAAAGCCCAAAGGTTACATTTACAGACTAGATGCTGAGCAGGATTTGAGGGAAGCAGGCCTGCTTGAGCTTCAGGCTCTCCCTCACACTGTATCAGGCACGCTGTTAATCTTCAGATAGTTACTGTGCAGTCTAATGATCCATCCTGGATTATGAAGACTAAATCCCTACCTGACATGCTCATAAACAGCTTTGTAGATTGGTTTTAGCTTCCTCATTTCTTCGTCAGAGACATTTGAAATTCCTAAAGATCCTCAGGAGCATTGTTAGAACCCTCATCTAAAGAAGTGCTACCGAGCAGCTCAAACCAATCAGGGATTATCCGGAGAGGAAAACATTGGTGCTATTCATTGTGCTTTGTTTGAACTGGCGGTTGAAAAGTAACATCATGAAAATTTGATAATGCGATGTGATATACAGAATGCTCAGTGGCAACAACAAATAGAACAGAGGCAATAGCACTCCCAACTGCCGAATTGACAAGCTATAATGTCATTGATTATGTAACCATTCTTCTGGAGTCTTTCTGTGTTGCTGCTTACACTGCTTGCCTGCCATCTGCCTCAAGAGCAATACCGCTCATCTCTGGGATTCCCTGTGGTCCACAAGGCATTTCATGTCAGCATTTCACTTGCTGTTTATAATATATCAAGATATGTAGAATAGCAACCACTATCTATGGATCTGTACAGAGGAAAAGATGACATCACACATTAAATGCTTTCAAGCTAGCACTACAGAAGCACTGCACCTTTCTACCTGCCAGGCTCCTGGGCTAAAACACTGTACACACACACACACACACACACACACACACACACACACACACACACGAAATAAAAACTGCACAAGAGATCTTGTCTCATAAAAATGACCACTATAAATGTTGGATATCATGCCACATTCCTACAATCTCAGAATGTAGGAGGCCAGGCAGGAAGATCATGAGTTTGAAGCCAGCCTGAGTTGCAAAGAGATTTCCAGGTCAGCCTGGAAAATGGGTCTCAAAAATCCCAGAGCAAACCAAACCAAACAAGAATTCAAACATATTTCCAGTGCCCTTTTTGAGATGGGTTAAAATGTACAGGAATCATTTATATTAGCAGGCAAGTATAAAACACACAAATGAGAAAATGAGTTAAGGAGTTTTGTTGCTTTACAAAAAGACCCCAAATGGGCTGTTTTAAAGAATCGAATTCCCCAGCAATTTAAAAATAGGTTGATTCATGGAAATCTGAGTCATATTTTAGAAAAACCTTTCTGAATACATCTGTTATATAAATCCATGCTCACCTGTACTGTATTGAGAACAAAGAGTGATAACAACACTCATATATAGTCTTCATTACAGATTTTAAAGAGATTTCCACTAATTTATTGCATTTGTCTCTGTCAACCTTTTAAGGAAGGCAAAGACAGTGTTATTTTTTTCTGTACAGATGAGAAATCGAGAGGTTAAGTGACTTGCCCAAGGTCAGACAGGCACTCATTCATTCGCTGCTCTGACTGATGTAGTTTTAACGGGGTAATAGAGGAAGTAAGGGCCTTCCTCCTATTTTTTTTTGAACAGCTGTGAAGGCTATTAAAACAGAAGTAGATGATCTCACAAATACAATGCTGAATGAAAGAATCCAGACACAAATGTGGACATACTGTAAGAGTCAATTAGTGTAAAATTCAAATGCAGACAAAGCTAACTCATGATGACATGATTCAGAATGGTGACTAGCTTTGGGATGGGGACTGGGGACAGGAGCACAGAAACTTTCTAGCTATTTGTCTGAGTTGTACATTAGTTACACTCATTTGTGAATAATCACTGAGATGTACAACAGGATTTAGCCGGTTTGCATATTAAAGAAATGTTCACTTAAAGCAGTCATTTACACTTTTGAGAGAGATCATCTATAAATTCACTTTAGAAGAACATTAAGCCCACAAATCCTTGGGACATTTGTGATTTCATTTACGTTTCTTGGCTGCATCTAGGAAATGAGACATGAACTCATCTGAAGACTGTAAAGAGAGAGGAAAAGGTTTATAGAAAATATGGCCAATATTTATCTGCATTTGAGAAGGGTTTTATATGAATGGGAGATAGAAGCACAGTAAAATAACATTATAATTTATTTAGGGCTAGGCAAAACACTTGTATTTAATGACTTCGATTACGAGTGGAAATAGCTTAGTGGGGCAGGTACTTAGCCTATGTGAGGTCCTGGATTCAATCTCTAGCACTCCAAGAACATAAATAAAAATAAAACAAGAAACCGCAGGAAATTAAGATTATGTATTGTTCATATAATCAATCCTGGAGAATAGATAAACAGGGGAATCAGGAATGTAATTCTCTAAAAACACTCATTTAGCTTAAGAATACTACATATTTTAGGATGCTGAACTAGGTGCCAGAGTGGAAAGTGGAAGCTGGTGAATGATACTTCTGCACAGACTCGGAGTCCACAAGGACAGAAATTACAGGTGCTTAAAACAATTCCAAAATTTATACCCTACTGTTCTCAGAATTCTTCTTTCCCTCTGAGTCTGCAGCAACATGAGGTATCACTGTCCCTCCATGCAGGTGCAAATGTTTTATAATTTTCTTGTCTTTTAAAGTAAGCTGGACCAAATATATATCTTGATCTTATTGGTCACAAATAGAGCAATTTCTGTGTGGTGGTGGGGCTTGGTCCCTGGTGCTGTTATTCCACCACTAGTCAGCTCCCCAGGATTGTACTCTAAGGCTTCTCCTGAAGAGGAAGCCTTTACTCTTTTTGTCAATTCCCATGTTTACTTCAGTTTTTAGCTAACTGTTATGCTGCTGTATGTTAGCTTTTCTAGGCATGCAGTAAACATTCTTAAAATAAATTTTGTACTCAAGCTATCTGCATAATGTAAGCAATGGGGCTTGGCAGGCCTCATTCTACATCCCAGATGGGTATAAGAAACGTCCTGGGTCACGGCTCACAGAAAGACCATCTTATTTTCCCCCAGTAAGGCTAAAACAATCATACAGCACGTCAGAATGGCAGGCTGAGAGGAAGAGGTGGAGAGCAGGTTGAAGATACACACAGGCTTTGGAACTCAGCAAGCTGACACGCCTTTTATACACTGGCAAAGGATGGAAAAATCACAAGGAACTGGGATTTTTTGTGTCTACACAAATTCACACAACATCATTTCACCACGTGTTTTGCTTAGGCTGAAGGGTAGAAGTCCAAAATTTCTCTCTGGGTGGAACCCTTCAGCAAACAAATGAACAAACAAACAAACAAACAAAACCAAAAACCATCTCTTTATACCACGGTACAAAGATTTTTTTGTATAAGCTCCAGCCATCTTCCTGCACCCTCACCTTCCTGCCCTAGGGTTACAGGCTTGACACCCACCTGGGCTCTGAACTCAGGCCTTCATGCTCTTGCCCACTGAACTGTCTCCCAAGACCAACATGTTTCTTTTGGAATTAACAAGCACGTCTCTGAACTTAACCTCTATTACATTGAGCTGCTTACCGAATCTCTTCTGACCTTCTATACTATTCTTTCTCCCCATTTCCCTATCTACCCCTCCCCCCACTTTTCCTCTCTCTCTCCCTGTATTGTTTCTGTGGATATATACTTGTAGTGGTTTGGCTCATGTATTTGAATGTACACAACTCTGATAGGATTAGAAGATTAGGAGGCATGGCTTTGGTGGAAGAAGTGTGTCACCTGGGGTAGTCCTTGAAACCTCAGGCCAGCCCCAGACTCTCTCTCTCTCTCTCTCTCTTTCTTTCTCTCAACTCCTTTTCCAGCACCATGTCTTCTTGCATGCTGGATGCTTCCCACCATACTGACAATGGACTAACCAACCCTCTGGAACTCTAAGCCAGCCCCACTTTAATGCTTTTCTTTATAAGAGTTTTCATGGTCATGGTGTCTATTCACAGCAATAGAAACCCTAAGACAGTAGTAGTATTGTGATCCTTAGCACGAAGTAATTGGGGACTGTCATTTTCTAACTTTCATAAATTACTGTTTCTGTTATGGGTCATATGAAAAGATCCATTCCTCACTCATAAACTTGACCATAGTTTTTAATAACCCAGCTTTCTATTAATACAAAAATTAATAAAACTTATTAAAAATTAAATGAGATTTAAATGAGATACATACCATCAAGCCTTGTTCTCCTGGTTTCCCTGGTTCACCCTTTAAAAAAATTAATAACAATGGCTCATTAGAAAGTATTTAAAAATTTCAGCTATCTTACTTTTTCCAATATTTTCTAGGTCATGTGAGTGTCAAGTGCATTTTTTAAAAAAGATTAAATAGAATGCAAACATATCACAAAGAGCTGATAGCCTTTCTTTGACTGTAATCTTACAAACCTTTTAGAGTTTAATAAACTTAGTCTAGGTTCTCATGTGCTCCCCACACTGATACAAAGACAGGTCAGAGTGCAGGTCAGAGAGTCCCTCTTTCTGCAGTATTTAGTAGTGAAATGAGCAGAGGCTGCTTTTGATTTTTCCTCTTTTGCATTAATCAGAGATGAATTAACATGTTTGCTGAGCCTAATAGAGAATATTCTGCTGCTTCATATGGCTTTGTTTCACAATGACCAGGTTAAGGTGGAACTTACTTTTATGTTTTATTGTAATACCATGACAGCCTCTGGCTACTGGGATTACAGAGATCTGTGCCTGTAATTCCAATATATATATATGATGCTGGTCTTTCAAGCATGAATATTTTCCATGTCACATTAAAATATATATTTTATTTTTATCCTACGTAAGTGGGTTGCCTACATTTATGCATGTGCACCGAGTGTATGGTACCCAGAGAGATGAGAGCGCACACTAGACCCCTAGAATTACGTGAAAGGTAGGGGTGCACCCCCATGTGCCGGGAAGCTGAGCAGCAAGTGCTCTTGACTGCTGAGCCATCTCTCTGGCAGCAATCTCACTTTTATAGAATATTTTTTCTAATAGTTATGACAGTATACACAAATTACCTCTGAGACCATTATAAAAATCAAACCCATTTGTGGAATTCTTCAATTTATTTGCCCTTTGTGTAAGGGTCCCATTGCCAGAGGTTAATATCTGGTGCCTTCTCAAATACAGTCAGCCCTGCTTTTGAGGCAGGGCCTCTGACTGAACTTGGATTTTCACTGATTTGGCTTAGGCTGGCTGGCCAGCAAGCACGAAGGATCCTCTTACCTCTGCCTTCCCTGTGATGGGGCTAAAAACTTGAATGTTGGAGCTTGAACTCTGGTCATCAAGTTTGTGTAGCATTTACTGAATGAGCCAGCTCCCTTATCTTTATCTCCTAATAGTAACATCCAGCATAAATTTATTTCTTCTATAATATATAATATTTGATGACTTAGTCATTTTTCTACCAATGCCATGTTGGGCTATTGTTTCTTTGTTTTGGTTCTTTTGAAATCAGGTTTCCACACTATTCTCTAGACTGGTAGAACTCACTGTGTAGCCCATGCTGGTTTTTAAAATACATCTTTAAAACTATTTTATGTGTCTGTGTATTTGGCGGGAATGTATGTCTGTGCAACCATGTGTGTTCGTTGTCCTCAGAAGCCAAAAGACAGTGTTGGATCCCCAGGAACTGGAGTTACAGATGGTTGCGAGTCTTCATGTAGGTGCTGGGAATCAAACTCGGGTCTCATGGGAGAGCAGCAGCCAGTGCTCTTAGCTGCTGCACCATATCTCCAGCCTGTACGTGCTGATCTCGAACTCACAGCACTCTTCTTGGCTCTGCCTCCTGAGTGCTGGCATCACAGGAATTATGCCTGCTACATACCACCATGCCTGCCAGCAAATGTTTTTAACTGGTTATTGGAGGACAGCCACTGTGGTGTCCAGCTGTCAATGAAAGCTGTCAATTCCCCAAAGCCATGGAAGGCTCTCCCCAGGAGCATCAGTCTAAGGAAATGTCAGACATTAAGTAGGCAGGGTTAGAATGAATTGGCCACCTTCGAATGTTCAGGAAAAGCAGTCCCAACAAGTTGAGTCTGTGCCTAATTTCATAGGAACACACACACAACCTTCAGAAAGGGAAGTGGGGCTTTGGAGGAGATGACAGCAAACAGGGATAAAATGTTCTGTTTCCTCACACACAGATTAATCCTTAGAAAAGTGATACAAAAATATGTGCATTAAAAATCCAAAGGCAATGTATGATAACATTAACAACTATGGCTGATTTCAATTTTTCCTCCTGGGTTTTATTTTCAAATATTTCTACTTTGTTATAAAATATTTTCATCATTACTTTTGAACTAGAAAATCATTAGTGAACACAATTTAAGCAACACATTAAATAAAATTTAACTTAGCAATAAACCTTAATTTCTAACTCTGGAACCACAATATCAACCCAGTCATTTTTTAATCTTGTTTGTATATTTTTTTTAAATTATTGGGCTGCATGTACCATGTCATATCATTCATCAGTGTCCCATATTTTTGTTATTGCTATGGCAAATTCTAGTGTTGAAGTCATTTACAAATGGTTTCTGTTAGATAAGCCTCAGATGCAAATGTCAAGTGATAATATATATGGTCTTACCCTCTGGTGCTTAAGTCATTAATTTGTTTTTATTAAACATTCGGCCAAGTCATTTGCAAGGGATCAATATTAGTAAGCTCCACTTGCTTTCTGTTAGCAATGTGGGGCTTTATTGTGTCCACTATGGGCCTTTAAGAAACATGATCAGTATTTGCTTTCATTTTTCTTGCTAATGACCCACTTCATCCAAAAAGGCAGTGGTTACAGGTTACGGGCAATACTGGGAATTTCTCCTTATGAACTTCCCAAAGCTCACCATGATCCATGTAGGTGACATCTGCAGGTCTCTGGCTCTTCTTGGACCCAGTGACAAAGCGAAACACTGCCTAAGTGCCCTGCAATGCTCTAGGACTGTGCTCTCATTCCTCCTCGCCCAGCCTTCCCTACTCACCTGACCTCTTAGCCCTACAGTTCCTTGCCACCTTGTACATATCACTTTTTACCTCTTAACATGGGACAAAATCTGGGAGAACAACAATCCAGGAAGAAACTCACGGGTACTCCTGGCATTCCTCGGGGGCCATCCTTCCCTGTGTCCCCAGGAGGGCCTCTTGGACCAGGAGGGCCTGGGGGTCCTGGAGGCCCAGCCTGTCCTTGGTCACCCTGGAATGGAGGAAGGGAATGAACCAACAATAATCATGAGCCATTAATATTCAGGTTCTATTTCAACATCTTAAATTCATATCATCTAATCTACATTTATGCTAAAAGAACCAGACCATCATAAATATGAAGCCTACTGGCAAGCTACCTGTCAGCAAGGAGCAAATGTTTATTGTGGGAGAGCCAAACAGATGCTATGAAACTAAAGCAGCTCTTGTCCCAGTAGCACGGCTCTCAGAGGACGCTATTTATTACCGTATTCAGAGCCGAACAAAGCCCTTGTTTAAGAGTCTCTATGGCAATGCTCTATCAGACACATTTACCCTGATCAATGGGTGGCTGCATTTTCAGTTTGAAAGTACATTTGCTCACAGAATCAAAGACTAAGCATAATAGGCTCCTGCTCTATTGCATAATAGATGCATAATTTATCAGAGCCAGAGGGCTGGAGAACCATGTGTCTATTGCTGGTTACAACTGAATTGTCTTGATTAAAAACCAGGTGGGCTTTCTGTACTGTGAGTCACCAAATACAGTCTTATTCTGGAATATTTACAAAGCCCCCCACCCCCACCCCACCCCAGCATCTA